TGGACGTAGCCAAATTGGGTGAACCACGTAAATTCTTGTGTGTCATTTCTCATTTTATCTTGTCCCTTACCTTTTGTCTTGTCGGGTTTGCATGCCAATATCCTAACAATTTGTGCCGATGACACTACCTATTCTGATGGCAAAGGAAATCCTGATTCAGGAGATGACTTCGAGCCTGCCCCTGATATTGACCACCTCAATCCAAGAGTTCAGAGAGAATTATCAGATTGGATGAATTGGTTAAAGTCTGAAATAGGATTTGATGGATGGCGATTCGACTTTGTCAAGGGTTATGCTCCCAGTATTACCAAAATTTACATGGAAAATACTTCACCAGATTTTGCTGTTGGTGAAAAATGGGACTCTCTTGCTGATGGTCAGGATGGAAAGCTTGACTATAACCAGGATGCGCACCGCGGCAGTATAAGAGATTGGATTCAAGCAGCTGGTGGTGCTGTCACAGCATTTGATTTCACATCTAAAGGGATACTGCAAGCTGCTGTGCAGGGAGAGTTATGGAGGTTGAAGGACTCAAATGGAAAGCCACCAGGATTGATAGGCCTCTTGCCACAAAATGCGGTGACTTTCATTGACAATCATGACACCGGGTCTACTCAATAGATTTGGCCATTTCCATCCGATAAAGTCATACAGGGGTATGCCTACATTCTTACCCATCCAGGGACGGGGTCCATCGTAACTTCAGCTCTATTTTTTTCTAATCTATATACTCTTTTCTCTTTTAGCTGTTTGATATACTAGGAAACTCTCGTATTATTGCTAACTACAGAAGCTTTCCGTGTTTTGCAGTTTTATGATCACTTCTTTGACTGGGGCCTAAAGGAAGAAATTGGGAAATTGGCAACAATCAGGAAAAATTACGGGATTGGCTCTACCAGCACTGTGAATATTTTAGCCTCTGATGCTGATCTTTATGTGGCAGCAATTAATGATAATATAATCATGAAAATTGGACCCAAAACCGATCTCGGAAACCTTATCCCCTTAAACTTCCAGGTTGCTACATCTGGAACAGACTTTATGTGGCAGCAATTAATGATAATATCATCATGAAAATTGGACCCAAAACTGATCTCGGAAACCTTATCCCCCTAAACTTCCAGGTTGCTACATCTGGAATATATTACTGTGTGTGGGTAAAAAAGTGAATTCCATAATACCCTATCTATACATGTATGAAACTGCTTTCAAGAATAATTCATGAAGTTCGTTGTGGACAGCAGAAAATTATTTTTTGCATGCTCTTAAAGTGTCACGACATTTCTTCTATTTTCACAGTTGTTCGAGGCAGGGGTAGTATATAGATGTGCGTGCAATGCTTCAGCATTAATGTTGGGTTTCATCCATCAAATCGCAGGCAGAAGAACAAGGACGAGCTTAGCTACAGTAGTTTGTACTAATTGACTGCTGATAGGTTTTTTTGCCCCAATCATTTGCATTGATCTTCTAAATCCTTTCACATCAATTTCCAGCAACCAAAGGCAAAAGGGTAATTCTGAAACAGGGTTTGCAAGTCCAAAATTATACATAAAAAGACCAAAAACTAGTGAAGAATTAAGGAAATATACATGCATGGTGTGGATGTTCTTCAGTAGACCCTCACAATGTCAAAGCCAGGCACTTGATGAAGGAAACCCAACTGTAGACCCTCACAATGTCAAAGCCAGGCAACCCATTGGCAACCTTCTCACAGTGCATATTGTAAACAACATCGCGCCGCTCAATATTCCCCAATAGTTCTTCATCTCCCTTCTTCTCCACTATATTTCGGCACGCCAAACCCTCCGAACTCCGAACTCTCTTCCCATCCCTTCATATCCCTCATTTTCTCCACTCAAACAGGCAACAGCCACCATCTTTCCGCCTATATTCACTATCTTGGTGACACTAGGAAATCTTAGTATCTCCCTTCCCTTCCATTTCACCTCTTTCAGCCCTCCTGTCTCCAAATCAAAACCCTGAAGCCCTTCCGAGACATATTCCTGTTTGGAATTTTGATTGAGAATAACTTCAATGTGAAGGATTGAAAAGTTGTCATGGTCACAGGATTCACGTAGAAGAAAGAAAATGAGACTGTCACCGTACAGCTGTTGTAAAAATTAATTTCGATAGATTTTTTCAAATAAATAAATAAATTATATTTATCTTTTCAAATTCTTGACTTTCTAATCGAGATTTAATTAGAATATTCATAATCCATTTAACATGCTATCTCGAAATTGTTTTGGTCTTTTCTAGATTTGAATGCGAAATGATAATTTAAAAAATAAGAATAAAAAGAAAAAATAAATCTCATTGTTCATTATAATATATATTAATAGTTGTTTTAGTTAAAAAATTAAAGCATTATCTTGGAATTTCATTTCAAAATTTAAGCTAGTTTAAATTATATGATGAAAGTAGAAATCACTAAACTATCAAAATATATCATGACTGGTTGGGATCTCTTATACATAATAAATATAATTATATGTTAAAATATAAATATGTGATAAGAAATATTACTTTTAATTTTAATTTTGATACTATAAAATTTCCTATAAAATTATAAAGATTCAAATTAATGATTTAATAAACTTCGCTATAATTTTATAAATTTTAAATTATAATATTATATATTATTTTTGAGTTTTTAAAGCATTTTTAGAGTTTTTATAAAGATTAACATATTTTCAGATTTTAATAATTTCTCCAATGTTAGTTTTTTCTTTAATTAGAAGTGGATAAAATTTACATACCATTATTAAATATATATTATATTATTATTATTTCACTAAAAATATATTTCTTATTTCTTAAAAAAATTATGTTTTTAAAAATAATACGGGTCTGCTATTTACAATGCTATCAACATAAAAACGTTGCCACCACGCTGGATACTATGGACCTAAACGATGTCGTAATACAAGGCTAGAGATCTCCGCAAAATCAGATGAAAGAAAACCTTCCGTACCAACGGCCAAATCTCGCGCCAAAAAAGTGCGATCCTAGGAAAAAGCATGAACTTGGTCCCTCATACATGGCTATCCTCTCCAAAGCCCAGTCTCTTTTTCTTTCACTCTTTACTCAAATCTCACATTGAAACACACAGCCCAAAATCAGCATTACTTCTGTTTCGTCACTTGTTACAATCCAATCTGAAACCAAATGATCTTACGTTTTCATTACTTCTTAAATCCTTCACTTCATTTCCACTAAATGAAAAACTAGAAGCCAATCAGATTCATACCCACTTGCTAAAATCTGGGTTTGACCAGTTTGTCTATATAAGCACTGCTCTTCTTGATTTTTACATGAAACTGGGATGTGTACATTCTGCACGCAACCTGTTTGGTCATATGCCTGAAAGAGATGTTGTTTCTTGGAATGCGTTGATTTGTGGGTGCTCGCGAAATGGGTACGATGTTGATGCTTTGGAGAGTTTTGTTCAAATGCTTCGAGAGGGTTTTTCTCCTCTTCAAACTACTTTGGTTGTTTTGGTTCCGTATTGTGGATGGCATGAGTTTGTGTTTCAAGGGAGATCTATTCATGGGTTTGGTATCAAGGCTGGTATTGATCTGGATTCTCAAGTGAAAAACGCACTTACGTATATGTATGCTAAATCCGGGGACTTGGAAGCGGCTGAGCTTTTGTTTGAAGAATTAGTGGACAAAAGTGTTGTTTCTTGGAATACCATGATTGGTGCTTATGCCGGAAATGGTTTCTTTAATGAGTCAATGCTTGTGTTTAAACGAATGGTAGAGGAAAAAGTGGAGGTCAACCCAGTTACTATTATGAGCCTTTTACCAGCAAATATTAGTCCTGAACTGATCCATTGTTATGCTATCAAAATTGGACTTATCAATAATGGCTCAGTACTTACTTCACTAGTTTGTTTATACGCAAAGTGTGGGAGTACTGAATTAGCAGAACTGCTTTACTGGTCTTTTCCACAGAAAAACTTGGTTTCATTAACTGCAATTATTTCGAGCTATGCTGGAAAAGGAAACATGGATTTGGTGGTGGAGTGTTTTTCTAGAATGCAGCTGTTGGATATGAAACTGGATTCAGTTGCTATGGTTAGCATCCTTCATGGAATCACAGACCCTTCTCATATGAGTATCGGAATTGCTTTCCATGGCTATGCATTAAAGAATGGTTTGGATACCCATAATTTGGTTTCTAACGGGCTAATAAGTATGTACTTCAAGTTCAATGACATAGAAGCTGCCTTCTCTTTGTTTTATGAAATGCCTGAAAAACCATTAATCAGTTGGAATTCGGTTATATCTGGCTGTGTGCAGGCTGGAAGGGCGAGTGATGCCATGAAGTTTTTCTGTCAAATGAAGATGTTTGGACCGAGTCCTGATACTATTACTGTTGCTAGTTTACTGACTGGTTGTTCCCAACTCGGATACTTACGGTTAGGGGAGAGACTTCACAACTACATTCTTAGAAACAACCTAGAAGTGGAAGACTTTGTTGGGACGTCTCTTATAGACATGTATACCAAGTGTGGAAGCATTCTGCTCGCAGAAAGGGTGTTCAAAAGCATCAGAGAACCGTGTGTAGCTACTTGGAACACTATGATTTCAGGCTATAGTTGGTATGGCCTGGAACATAATGCTCTAAATTGTTACTCTAAAATGCGAGAACAAGGGCTAGAGCCTGATAGAATAACCTTCTTGGGAGTTTTAGCTGCTTGTGTCCACGGTGGTCTTCTACATGAAGGGAAAAAGCACTTCCAGATCATGAAAGAAGAATTTGGTATGGTACCAAATTTGCAACACTGTGCTTGCATGGTTGGTCTCCTAGGCCGTGCAGGTTTATTCGAGGAAGCATTATTATTCATCAAGAACATGGAATCCGAGCCTGATTCTGCAGTTTGGGGTGCTTTGCTTAATGCTTGTTGCATCCATCAAGAGATCAAACTTGGAGAATGTTTGGCCAAGAAGTTATATTTATTGGATTACAAAAATTGTGGGCTCTATGTATTGATGTCAAATCTTTATGCAGCCACAAATAGGTGGAATGATGCTGCAAAGATGAGGGAAATAATGAAAGATATTGGTGGGGATGGCACTTCAGGACTCAGTCAAATTGAAGTAACTTCATCACGAGAAATGGATCCAGACTTGTACCAAGAATTCCGTCAATTCTAATTTCTGCAAAAATTCAGCTGGGTCTTTTTTTGTTTTTTTAAATTAATGTGGATGTTCGGGGCAGCTTGCATCCCCACGGCCCACTGAATACCCTATAAACCCAGTAGGCAAGTAAGACAGCACGGGACTCACAAGCATGCAACTCCAAGACTCGAATCTGTGACAGTGGAAGGAGCAAATACTCCTGCCATCGCTAGGCTGATCCAAGTCCTTATCACTTGGCCACCACTTAAATGGTTAGCTTGGTCTTTTTTGGTTTTATGGGTGGGTGTTAAGCGCAGCTGTCTGCTGTGGGCTGAGTAGAAGACCCATGACCCATAATTGGTCAGTACAGGATCCAGATCTAAAAAGACTTGAATATGTCCACGCAAATCTGACATGTGGCATCTACGAAATTTCAATTTATTTTATGTTTTTTAATTCGTTTGTGTCTGAAGACAACAATCATCCGCTAAAAAAAAACCAAACTTAAAAGAGTTCCAATTTCAAATTTTGAGCTTGGCGCTCTTCATTTTACCAATCCCTCTTTTTCAAAAAATTAAAAACCCTAAAACTCTCATTTCTCTCTGTTTCGGGGAAAAAAGAAGGAAAAAAATAGCAGCAAAAATGGGGGGTTCTCATAGCCGTGAAGATCTAGAGCTCTCAGACTCGGACGCGGAGTCCCAACAAGAAGAAGAAGAAGAAGATAACTACCAAGATGTCAGCGCGGAAACCCCAGAAAAATCATCCTCCGCCGGAAGAAACAGACCCAAAACGCCATCTTCTTTTGATGAAGTTGAATCCAAGCTTAAAGCCTTAAAACTGAAATACCCATCAACGACAACCCAAACCCAGCAAAGCCCTAACCCTAATTTTAAAAACGGTGTCAAACTTTACCTTCATATCGGTGGTAACACCCCAAAAGCCAAATGGGTTACTTCAGAGAAGTTGACTTCTTATTCTTTCATCAAGACCTCAAAAAATAATGGTCAAAATGAAGAGGAGGAGGAGGAGTCAGAATCTGAAGAAGTTGGTTGGTGGGTTTTGAAGGTTAGTACTAAAATTAGAGCGAAAGTCGCTGTTGAGATGCAATTAAAGACTTTTAAGGAACAGCGCCGCGTTGATTTTGTTGCTGAAGGTGTATGGGCTATGAAGTTTTTTAGCGACGAGGATTATAAGCTTTTTAATAGTAAGTATCAGGATTGTTTGTTTGAGAATACTTTTGGGTATGAGTCGAATGAAGCAAACAAGGTTAAAGTTTATGGGAAGGATTTTGTTGGGTGGGCGGACCCGGGAAAGGCAGATGATTCTATGTGGGAGGATGCAGAGGATGAGTTCTTGAAAAGCCCTGGATCTGCGACTCCTGTGAGTAGAAATCAGGATTTGAGAGAGGAATTTGAGGAGGCGGCCAATGGAGGGATACAGAGCTTGGCATTGGGTGCGTTGGATAATAGTTTCTTGGTGGGTGATTCAGGGATTCAGGTTGTTAAGAATTTTAGCCATGGGATTCATGGGAAAGGTGTTTATGTCAATTTTGGAAGTGGGAATCATAGTAGTGGTTCGAATTTGGTACATTCAACCCCTAAAAAGGCGCTTCTTATGCGGGCTGAGACTAATATGTTGCTTATGAGTCCGATGAACGAAGGGAAATTGCATTCTACTGGTTTGCATCAGCTTGATATTGAGACTGGGAAGATTATTACTGAGTGGAAGTTTGAAAAGGATGGAACTGATATTACCATGAGGGATATTGCAAATGATAGCAAGGGAGCACAATTGGATCCATCAGGATCGACATTTTTGGGGTTGGATGACAATAGGCTTTGCAGGTGGGATATGCGTGACCGGCATGGGATCGTTCAAAATCTTGCTTCAGCTAATACTCCTGTCCTGAATTGGACTCAAGGGCATCAGTTTTCAAGAGGGACTAACTTTCAGTGCTTTGCTAGCACTGGTGATGGATCAATTGTTGTTGGGTCTCTTGATGGAAAGATTCGATTGTATTCAACCAATTCTATGAGGCAGGCAAAAACAGCATTTCCTGGCCTGGGATCACCTATTACACATGTTGATGTTACCTTTGATGGGAAGTGGATATTGGGCACCACCGATACTTATTTGATCCTTATCTGCTCTCTTTTCACAGACAAGGATGGTAAGACAAAGACTGGTTTTAATGGTCGTATGGGTAATAGGATCGCAGCTCCAAGATTGTTGAAGCTGACTCCTTTGGATTCACATCTAGCTGGCGTTAATAACAAGTTCCAAAAGGCTCAGTTCTCTTGGGTAAGTAGACTTGTATCCCTTTTCACAGAGTTGTCAATGCTTGTGTTGCATCTTCCGTTTAATGCATATGGTATGTTTGCAGTCCTCCCATGGCCACTAGATGCATGAGTTATTGGTGATACATGTCATAACTGAATTTCTTTTTCTTTATTACCTTTTCATCAATGCCTTGACAGTTCAATATGTGAATCATTTGCTTTAAATTCCAAGCTTTGGTGGTTCCTTCAGGAAAACTCTTCTGGATAAGCATAATGAAAATGGTTGTTAATGGTGTTCACCTTATTTTGGTTGGGTCTCCATTTTACTAATTGTTTTCCTTCTTCACATAATATCTACTTGTCTATATGCAATGCTATGGATTTGTTGTGCTAGTGAAACAAATTAGATTTGGTAGAGACTTCAATGGAGTTGTTGCTTTGATGTTTATTTGCTTCTTCAGAGAGTTTTAAGGAGGAGGAAAATGGTTCTCTTAGCAGGTATTTCAGGTGGTTTTCTAATTGTTAGAGCCCTTGCTAGTCTCGAACACACGGTTTTCTACTAATGTTCTTTTTATCTACAACACGGAAAAACAGTCTTCCAGTAATTTGAGAGGACCATTTTACATTATAATTCATGTTGCAACTAAGAATGTCTTGCCAAGTATGTTTTCCAGTAGTTTATATTTTAGAATTATGAGGTGTCCAGGAGTGTGTGGCTTTACCTACTGTATGTAGATGAATTATTGTTCTATGCGATCTATTCTATGAAAAGGGTGTGTGAATGATGCTTGTAGGTTGAAGTGTCGCATACTTGCTTCACATGCCATGGAATTCTTGTGGATTAGCATATGTTATGGGATTTGTTGGTTTACTGCTAGGGATGTTTCTTCTTGTTGAATGAGCATTTGATTCAAGATGGTTATGTCCTGATTGTTTAGATAAGAAGGTCGTTTTTTTTTTAAGTATCTTCTCAATAGTTTTGAATCCTTTGAGCAATGCTCTGTGCCCAACTTCTGTATTTCCCATTTAACGATATAAAAATTCACCCAGTTTTGACTGCCTGGTGAACTTCACCAAAAACAGAAGTTAGAAATTTATATATTCCTAGAACTCAACGCTGAAGCCTTAGTTGGAAGCTAAGTATTAAGGAGTAGAAAGATAGCTGTTCATCGATCAAGTTTCATTGAGACCTCCACCATTGAAAGACCATGGTCATATTTCAGCAACCAAAACGATAATGCATGGCACTGGATTGCGTCTGAAGTTGTGGATTTATGTGTAAAGTGGTGTGTAGTGTGCCTTTGTTGCATTACTGTGTTAATCTGAAACTTGTTCAGTTGAACCTTATACGTCTGAAATTGCATAATGAGCATTCACAACAGGTCTTAATTGCACAACAATTTACTTTAGTAACTATCCATTTTAGTTTTTGTTGATATACATTCTTGCACTTAAGTCAAACGAAATAGCTGTTCTGGGATTCTCTTGCAAACTTGGTTCCTTTTCTCCTGCTGTACCTGCATATCTTGCCGTGACTGCCTTTGCAGATGAAAAGTTCAACATTACTCGAGTTTAAAAATTTTGCAGGTCACAGAGAATGGGAAGCAGGAGCGCCATTTGGTTGCAACAGCTGGCAAGTTTAGTGCGATATGGAACTTCCAGCAGGTAAAGAACGGTTCCCATGAGTGCTATCGTAATCAAGAGGGCTTGAAGAGCTGCTACTGCTACAAGATAGTCCTTAAGGATGACTCCATTGTTGATAGCCGTTTCATGCATGACAAGTTTGCAGTCAGTGATTCTCCTGAGGCTCCACTGGTGATTGCAACCCCTATGAAAGTCAGCTCCTTCAGCATATCGAGCAGGCGCTGATGGCTGAATTATTTCTCTTTAGTTGATCACTTTCTCAGTGTCGCAAATGCTTTTCTAAAACTTCTGTATTGTATTTTTCATTGCTGCTTAAGTAGTTATGTTTGGATTATCCCCGCATCTTATTATTGTTTTTCCTCGTTGAATCCGAAGCTCCTGTCTTCAGCAGGATGAAGCACTGTCATTGTGATTTCTTGTCCTTTTCTGCTTTTCTACTCGCTGTTGAGAAGTTAGGCTCCCTGGCTGTTTGATTGGCCATCACAAATTTAGTGTGAGTTTGCGGGGCCATGTTATCGTCCTTTCTTTTTATGGATGAGTTCTTATTTTGGATGGTAGTTATATACGTGGCTCTGGTGGATGCCTTTAGTTACGTCTAGCTGAGAGAGAGGGTAAGAAAAAATGGCAGTCGCAATAATGGGTAGACCTTTCGTTATTCAGCCATGCTTGTCTTCCTCCGTATCCTCCTTGTCTAGGAACATAAATAAGTCATCATTTGGCGCAGCAGAAACCTTTTTGCCTGCCAAACCAAGCAGCACTCGTTCCACACCAGTTGTGGTTCATGCCCAACAGCGACCGACATGGCTTCCTGGGCTTGACCCTCCACCTTATCTTGATGGAACGTGAGCCACTGTGCTCTATGTACCTCGACATTGAACTTATAAAATTATGTTTTTGTTTTGCTTAATCTCGTCCTCTTTCTCTAATTTAGTTTGGCTGGAGATTTTGGGTTCGACCCTCTTGGCCTCGGAGAGGACCCACAGAGCCTGAAGTGGTATGTGCAGGCAGAGTTGGTCCATGCTCGCTTTGCCATGGCTGGAGTTGCTGGAATTCTTTTCACAGATGTGAGTTCCACAATACCGTCGTCTTATTTGTCTTGTTGGTGGCATTTAAATTTCTTCTTATTTTCTAGTCTCTCCCTTCCCAAAACTACTGCTGAAAGTAGAAAACACTTGCTAGACAGGGCAAAGAAACCAACACAAGAGTGTGGAAAGCAAGATGTGATCTTGTCAATTTATATATTTGAACTGAATACAGATCTTTCTATTGCAAGGTAGTATTTGGTTGTTGTCTCATGATAGAAGAGACAGAGACGGTGGGAACAGATGTGACATATCTCCATCTATTTTTATTTTGAAAATATAGAAATTTACTACATAACTGTCTGTGCAAACCGATCAATGTCAACTAGTTTTATATGTACATTCCTGCTACTGACCATTTAGTACCGTTGTTGCAGCTACTACGAGTGACAGGGATCAGAAAATTGCCAGTTTGGTATGAAGCAGGTGCTGTGAAATTCGAATTTGCAAG